CAAGTAGTCCTACTCCATCCACATATCTAAAAGGAGTAATTCTTAGCGTACCCGAGGGTCTCCGATGCACTTTCTTTTTTACTCTATTAGAGATGAAAATGTCGCAGGCTTTTTGCAGTAGAGAGGTTGAATCGGACCCCTTAGGGGTAAACCTTACTAGGACTTGAAACAATGTAAAGCCCGCCCCTTTTGCTCCGGTTTTAATTGAGCGTTCTTTGCAGAACCGGATAGGATTGGATATATTTGTTCCGGATTATACATTTTTGCTTAGTAAAATAACATTGTGTAGCTCTTTGCCGATGTCATCGGTTGTGGTCACAGCTAAGGTCACTTTAAAAGGGTGTTGTGCGTCGCTTGTGTCCCAGGTCCTTTAATATTCTTCTTGCTTATTGTGTGCACTGCCTCTCATGCAAAATTTCGTTCGAACAGCCTTAATGTATTAACACTATCGAGTGAACCATATCGCACTCGTCTCGTCATGCCTTCGATTTGTGCACGCCGCCCCCCCCCCTAAATATTGATTATGTTCGCAAGACCGTATTGTATTTTTTTCTTGCCAGTTGGTAGTCGTACACTTTTGATAATGTTTAACTCTCTTGATCCTTTCATTTATTGCTACCTGCTCTTATATGTCTCTCGGAAAGATAAAAACTTAGGCAAGTGATTCCGAAGGATGTCTCCTTTGGTAGTTAGGCAAAATGGTAACAAAGCCCGACGATGCGGATGGTGACGCCTGAATAATGCGAGCTTGCGTATTCGCCGACCTCAAAGCCAGTACCCCTTTTTTATTTCCAGCAAGCTTAATAGTACCTATTGCTGAGATTGGGAATTTCTTGATGTGAATCGCTCTCACGCAAAGTTTCCAATGATAATTTAGTATACAGTTGCATGTTGAATTGGCCGAACTATTCTGTCCTCTGTTGCTTCGAAGTAGGAGGTTTAGTCGAGACGCTTCCAACGCCTTCCTATTTTTTCAAATGCAGCCTTAAGTCCGTAGTCCAGTAAGTCCGTAATTTTTGATAATTTTAATTAACGTCAAATTAATTGTGTCAATGAAGTTGGTTGACATCACCGCTGTCTCATGGCCCATTGTGCAATTTTTGTTCATTTGCGTGATCGTTTGTTTGTTGATAGACAAACTGTGCCACTAGTCCACCGCTGA